CGAACTTGGCCTGAAGAAGCCCTACAAAAGAAAGATTCGGCCTTGGAAGTAAGGTTTTCCTGAGGAGGAGCTAGGGTTGTGCTTGTGTTGGGGTCGGCCGTGAAGCGTAGAGAAGACCAGTCACGCCCAAGCCGAAGAAACACTGAAGAAAGACAAGCATCCAAAGGAACAAATTGAAGAGAGTGGCCAACTCTTGAGGATGATGAGTGTGAGAAGGAGCCATTGGCCTCTGAACTTCATGGAAAGAAGATAGAGTCGTTAAGTGGGCCATTCCTGCTGTCCAACCAGAGGAGACGGGAGTTTGGATGTGGGGCCTACATCTAGACTTTATTCCAGATCTGATCGTAGCCTACACTCCCCCAAATCTGTTCCCCGGTGGGCCCATACATGCTCTGGCAACTGTGGAGTGTGTGCTTCCTCCTTAAACAAAGTAGCATAATTTCACCTAAAAATAACTAACCAGCACAATCCCGTTTCCTGCTACAGTGACTGGTTGGTTAACTGGAATAAAATAAAAGGCAATTTACTGAGGTCTTTGAGAACATTTTGCATATGCTCAAAATAAATAAAAGCAAAATAAAATCTTACAGACACAGGGCTAACCAGAATAAATGAAACAGACAAGAAAGCCTTCCCAAAGACAGGTCTTGGGAAACATTTGGTAATATTTCCAGTCTTAACCAAACAGTTCTGAGTCAGGTCTATCTATTATCACTGATTAAATGAACAGGGACTGTTCTTTGCAATTAAGTATGTTCTAAGTCAGACAAACAGCAATCACAAATTCATGTGCCCACACTACAAAGATGTAACGATCAAATAGGAAGTTTGATTAATAACTTGTAAAGCCATATTTCTGTGGTAAGATTAGCTAGTAAAACTGGAAGAAAAAAAAAATCTTGAGGGAAGGAGATGCCATGAAGCTACTCGAGACAAAAGAAAAGGTGGCTTATACTTCTCACGAAACTATTTCAGAGGAAGTCACAGGACTCACTTCTTTGAACGACTGACTGGGGAAGGTTTTCATATCTATTATAGCAAATACAAGTTTATTTTGTGTGATGATTTTCTCATTAGATTGGGAGTACTTTGAGGATTAGGACTGACATGCACCTAACATTGTAACCAGCACAGCAGACTGGATATTAACCTGAATTTATTTCTTCTGTTTAAAAATAGTTATTTAATATATAAATGTGTTGTTGTACATGTGGATTTAATTTTTTTGAAGGAGAGCTGAGGTTTTGAAATTAGAAGATGAAATATCTTCATACTTTCATATGGTCTCTGTATGTGTGTTTTTAAATAAATGAATAGTAGTATTCCCATCAAGGAATGGCCAATGATATTCCTGACAAATATGAAAGACCCAATATTAAAAGTGATGCTTTAGGGCTGGAGAGATGGCTCAGTGGGCAAGGTGCTTGTTGTATAACCTGAGCTGTTTTTGTTTTGTTTTGTTTTTTGACCAACTAAGTTCTGTCCCTAGAAATCACATGGTGGAAGGAGAGAAGCAACTCCCAAAGCTGGCCTCTGACTTCCATATGCACTCTATGACATATTCATGCATGCACACACACAATAAATAAGTGTTAAAAAGATTTAATTAGAATTTCACATCATGTATTACATTATTTATTGAGTATGCCAGATAGAGCTAGAATTCTATTGAGAATCTAAGAACTAGCAACACAAATTCCATGTTAATTATACTACTGATAAGTTAATATCAACAAATGAATATTGAAAAATATTTAATACTCATCTCTTACATCCAAGGCATGGTGCTGAATGCTTTTGGAGCCAAAAGTCCAAATCTACCCTGTCCTCAACAAGATTATAATCCTTTTTGCCTCAATGCCATGAGCAGACACTGGAATTCTATCAGCATGGCTTCAGCCCCAGCTCTGCACACAAACAAATATACATTTTATAAGTGAGACTGAAGTTATCCTGAGAAACATTCATGGTCAAAAGAAAAAGCAGCTAAAGCAATGGGCTTTTGTTTCTTTGCCAAATTAACTTAACCTTGGCCCTTTTTAGAAGAGGGTTGCTCTAGAAAGCTCAGAGAAGAAAGAGAAGAGAGCTACTCAAGCCAAGCTATAAGTGGATATAACAAAATGCTATTGGACAAAGTGACTGGCCTCCTAGTGTTTCATGGATGCAGGGTTTATGCTCATGAACTCTTGTAGCTGTCTGCTCCAAAGGGGAGCAGCTGACCCCATGAACAAACAAACAATTTTATGTAACAATTTAGCAATACCTTCATTTCATGGCACTCCTAGCATGCCAATGTCACTAAAAGCTGACATTGTTCAAGCTATTGTAATATGGATTATACAAATCACCATCAGGCTCTATTAAGACTCTCCCACTTTCCTAAGTGTTTGTAATAAACAATGTATCTTCTCTCTGCTAGTAAGTTAATTGTCTAGTCCTTACTAGTATCATTTATTTAAACCATTTGGATGTCTTACACAAATGTTTTCATATTTAAGGAGAAAGTGGGTTGGGTGATGAAAACCTCAAATATGAGAAGCTGAGGCCAGAGGAGGTCAGCCTGAGCTAAAGACCCTGAATCAAAGGGGGGTGGAAGGGAAACTACTTGCTTAGTTTGTTTTTTTGAGACTGGGTATACAGCATAGCCTGGCCTCAAAACTCCCATTCCCCTTGCCTCTGCCTCCCAGCTATGAGGACTGCAGGCATGTACCCACACTAGGCCAAGCACCGGATTTGAGGAGATAGTCCCTAATTGTCCAGCTTACACTCGATGCCTTTTACTCCCACAGGGTTCTTTCTTCTATATTTCATAAAACATCCATTCAAATCAAAACAAATTCAAATATCAGAAAAGAAAAATAAACCAAATGCTCTATTATACTTAGCCATACATTTCAGATTGAATAAACACTGTTGAAGAACGAGTGGTTAGAGCAGGGGGGACGGCGCAGCATTTGAGAGTGCTTACTATTCTTGCAAAAGGCCTGGGCTCTGGTCTCTACAGTCTCTTCTCTACTTCATGCACTCATGCAAATACCTCTTTCTACCAAAGCAAAAGCCTACAAATGTATTTTCTACAAAGGTGACAGGTTCCTGGTGGACAGTGCGAATAGGTCTATCAAGTCAACATTTATTTACATACAGAATGGAATGCTAAGGTTCCCAGCAACCAATTTGATTTCCAGAATCCTGCACTTTCCATTTTTCTCAAGATGAGAAGATCCTTTGCCATATATGCTGATCAACCCAAAAGAAAAGACCTAAAGACACTACATGGAGTAACTTCCATGAAGCCTATTGGCTCTTTTTAACTTTCCCTTTTCCTTCTCTTTTATCTCTTTTCAGACACTAGGTAAAAGCCTAAGTGTGTTTTCTAGACATTTTAGGCTTTCTCATTTTCTCTGAAGCTCCCCTCTCCAGCTGCCATGAACCTGCTTACTGACCATGACTGACCTTTGACGCAACCTATTTTCTTAAAAGTATGACTCTTCCCTTTCTCCATCTCCTTCCTCTCTAGTAGTTGTGAAGATTTACAGCTTGCCTGTCCTGTTGTTTTTCCCTCAAACACTAGTAAAATTGTCCTTAAACTAGCTGGGAGGTGGTGGTGCACACCTTTAAGCCCAGCACTTGGGAGGCAGAGGCAGGTAGATCTCTGAGTTTGAGGCCAGCCTGGTCTACAGAGCAAGTTCCAGGACAGGAAGGGC